AACAAGAAGAGGAATTGCTGGAGACATAGCAAAGGGCTCCTCAGATTGCTCTCCCTCAGGAGGAATACTAAAGAAAGGAGTAGATTCAGCAAATGTAACATCTCGAGAGACAAAGTAGGTGCCATTGACTGGATCAAAACAACAATATCCTTTCTGTGTAGAGGCATATCCTAGAAAAACACACTTATGTGCCTTAGGTTCAAACTTGTGCCTTTGATGGCTATGAACATGTACATAGTAGGTGCACCCAAAAACATGGAGAGGAAGAGAGAAGAGATCCTCATCCAGAAAGAGAAGGCTAAAGGGGGTTTTGAAATTCAGAACCCGAGAAGGCATACGGTTAATCAAAAAGGTAATAGTAAGGACAACATCTCCCCACAAATTTAATAGGAACATGGGATGCAAAAAGTAGGGATCTGGCAACCTCAACCACATGACGGCTCTTCCTTTCCGTCACTCCATTCTGCTGTGGAGTGTAAGAACAAGAACTTTGTTGAATAACCCCAAAATTTTCAAGGTAGGATGAAGGTTCTTCTCAAAATACTCCTTAGCATTATTAGAATAGAATATTTTGATCTGGGTATTAAAACGGGTACGGATAAGTTCATGAAATTTTTGCACAATAGTCGATACTTTATCCTGAGATCTCATGAGATAAATCCAAGTTTAACGAGAATAATCATCAATAAAAAGGATAAAGTACTGGTAACCCCCTATAGTAGGCAAATGATATGGTTCCAACATATCAGAGTGCACAATATGAAAAGGATAAATGGATCTTTTATTGCTTACTGAATAAGACTGTCTACAATGCTTTGCAAGTTCACAAGATTCACAATGATGACTCGATCAAGACACTCCCTTAAACATTTTGGTTTACAAATGGCTCAAAGCAGAAAAAGGCCAAAAATGACATAACATCACTCTATCAACTGAGTCTGACAAAACTGACTCCAAGGCTACTCCATGAGGTGGTCAAAGACTCGTATCAGGTGTGTCCAACAAGTATATTCCATTCACCTCATGGCCACTCCCAATCATCCTCTGAGATTTCAGGTCCTGACAAACACAATGAGTAGGAAAGAAAGTTATGCTATAGTTCATGGATTTAGTTAAGCTGCTAACAGATAAATGATTGGTATTAAGTTTGGGGACATGAAGAACAGAGGACAAAACAAGGGTGTCAGAGGTTTTGATATCCCCCTTGCCAGAGGTGGGAGCAAGAGACCCATGAGCAAGGGATATTTTCTCTTTACCAGAGAGAAGGTGATATGAACAAAAAAGGTTAGACAAGCTGGTCATATGGTCTGATGCACCAGAATCAATAATCCAGGGGATTTTATGATTACGTGAAATAGAAGCTGGGTTTGCAGAAGCATGGATACCCAAGTGAGCAAATGCAGATGATGATGATGTGTACTGCACACTACATTTCCAAGCACCTTTCTTACAGTTTGCTTTCACCTCCATACTTTGCCTATCTCTCTTCTGTTGCTTCTCATCCTATTCCCAGGTCTGTGTCAGAAGCTCTTAAGATTC